TTAGTACTTGTGGGAAACACGTCACAGTGCCAACCACTCACTGGTCCTGAAGTGACCCTGTTATTTTAGGAGGCAGTAAGGGAAATGATATTTTAAAAACCCAAGTGGCACTCTGTGGGTATTGAAAGGTGTAAGTGATAAAAATGGTCACCATACTTAAAGAGCAGGGGGGTGAACGGGTGCTGGATGCTCCCCACACTCTCTCTACGTGTCAGCAGAATATATTGGAGCTCGGTGAAGCAACCCAGGACCGAAGTGCTCTCTTCAGTTGAATAATTAGACAACAGCGGTGGTCAATTTAGAAAAGCTAAGTATCATCTCTCCCTGCTTTAAAATTTTTATTTGAAAAAAAAATAAAAAAAAATAAAAAATAAATAAAAAAAATAAAATTTTTATTTGAAGCCAAACACAATCCTTAGGTGGATTTAACAGCATGGGAAAGGGACTGCTAGATTTTGAACTGCGGTGAGGATAGCCCATGTTTTATTCATTTTTGTGTCTCACCCATCCGCAGTGCTTGTCATGTAGTAGGTACTCAGTGAACGTTGGTTGGATAAAGGATTCATCCATATTTTCATGGGGTGTTTATATGGTATGATGAGTTCATACTTTTGTGCCCCACTAGGTAGAGATGGTTGCTTCCTATACTGCATATTTATTCTGAACACTATTTAGCGACAAGGGTGTTCTAACATGAAATAATAAGGAAATCAACTTTAGCATGATTTTATACACACAGATAGATACACTTGCTGGCTAGGTGCAGATAGATAGATATTTATGTTCTCCCTGAGAGATGCTTTAGCAACCTAAGCTGCACTAGAATGAGGTTATTGATGTGGGAGGGAGGGAAAGATAAAACTCAGAGCTTAATTTCTAGGCAGGACTGCTCCTTCCTTTTTTTTTTTTTTAAATAGATTTTATTTATTTACTCATGAGAGACATAGAGAAAGAGGCAGAGACATCAGCAGAGGGAGAAGCTGGCTCCCTGCAGTGAGCCTGATGTGGGACTCGATCCCAGGACCCCAGGATCATGACCTGAGCTGAAGGCAGATGCTCAACTGCTGAGCTGCCCAGATGCCCCAGGACTGCTGTTTTCAAAACAAATTTCAAATCCTTCTTGTGTACCTGGCACAGGCCCTGGAGATTTACCAATAATATGTGGTTTGAAATGACCTGGAACGAGGTCCTGTGGCCCCCTGTCCTTTGAAACCCTTGGCTGTTCTGGTTTCTGTTCCCTACTTTCCCACCATCAGCTCTCTGGCCAGGGCCCCATTCCTTCTGATCTGTGCTGTTGGATCAGTCCTTTTACTTCTGTCCTTTTGAAACTCTGATTTTTGACTTCTCCTTGTTGCTATTGTTACCGGTTCTCCGATTGTTCCCAGACCGGCAGCATTAGCAATCACCTGGGAACTTTTTAGAAATGAAAGTGCTGGGCCTCACCCTAAACTTGCTTAAGAGGAAACTTTGGGGTGGGGCTCAGCAGTTAGGTGTTTTGTTTTGTTTTAATTTTAAAGATTTTATTTATTTTTTCATGAGAGACAGAGAGGCAGAAATATAAGCAGAGGGAGGAGCAGGCTCCCTGCGGGGAACCCAGTGTGGGAATCAATCCCAGGACCCCAGGATCATGACCTGAGCCAAAGGCAGACGCTCAACCACTGAGCTACCCAGGTGCCCAGCAGTTAGATTTTAACAAGGAGGTCATTTCAAATGTGAGAACCACTGCTGCTGCCGCCTGTGATGCTCAATTCCCAGCGTGCCACCTTTTGGTTGCTTTTCCTGGCGTCCTTGCCAACAGCCATGTAAGCATACAGATCTGTGTCCATCTATTCAAGGCCTTCTACAGCAGCACCAGCTTGTGCCCTGTCCATGCAGGTGCATTCCACACCGAATTCAAATGAACTACTGGCTCTTCCCACTGCCTTTTAATGTTGGTTCCTCTGGTAGAAATGCCCCCTCTCCTCCCAATTTGTAGAAACATTACTCATTCTTTATTTTTTTTCAAGTTTTTATTTAAATTCCAGTTAGTTAACAGTGTAATATTAGTTTCAGGTGTATGATATAGTGATTCAACACTTCTGTATAATACCCAGTGCTCATCACTGTAAGTGCCCTCCTTAACTCAGCCCCCATCGAACTCACTCCCTCCTGCCCACTTCCCATAAAAAAAATTCTTGCCATGGTAGATAAGATTTTAGGTAGATAAAATTTACTAGACGTCCCATTTTTCCTTTTCCCTCTTTTCAACATATCCTCAATTAAATCTTGATTTCATGCCAAGGCGATCCCTCTCATGGAATGTTTTCAGATACTGCTTCTCCTCTGCTCCCACAGAGGGAACTCCTTTGTGGCTCTCCTAGTCTGTACCCCCACCTCCTGTGTGACAGGGTCTGTATGTGTGTGTCTCCCATCCCAGAGAGAGTGTAATAGCCAGGGAAATCTAACTTGTCTTTTATTTTACTGTGTCCTCCCTCGGCAAAACACAGGGCCTGGGATTGAGTAAGTGTGGCCAGTTTAACAACAAAGAACAGTATTTGCCTGAACGTTGAAGTTTGTACTGTGACAGCAGTACTAGGAATGAGTTTTTCCTTTCCAATGTGGTTTTCTCACATTATTGTGGAGGGTATTAAATTGGAGTCAGGAGACTTAGGCCAGACCAGTCTTCTTCTTTTTCTTTCTTTCTTTCTTTTCTTTTTTTTTTTTTTTAAGATTTTATTTATTTATTCATGAGAGAGACACACACACAGAGGCAGAGACATAGGCAGAGGGAGAAGCAGGCTCCTGTGGGGAACCCAATGCAAGACTCTATCCCAGGACCCCAGGACTATGACCTGAGCCGAAGGCAGATGCTCAACCAATGAGCCAGCCAGATGCCTCCAGATCAGTCTTCTTGGTGATTTCTTCTAAGGCCTTGGGTAATGCCACTTAATGGCGTTGCGTCTGTTCTTTCATCTATATAAAGTGGCACCAATAATATCTATGGGCAGAGTTGCTTTGAGGGCCAAATGCAACAGCACATGTTATCAAGATAAGATATCACGTTGATTCCTTACATTTAAGACATTTACATTTAAGGCAACCCATTTTTTTTGGTTGCACATAGGGTTATAAAGAGCACTAAAAACAACCTTTAAATAGAGAACTTCATGTTTAGATTGTCCAAGGGGTCTTCCAAGATCAGCCTAAGATTTTTTTAGGGAAATTGAATATTTTTTTTAAAGATTTTATTTATTTATTCATTAGAGACACAGAGAGAGGGAGAGGCAGAGACACAGGCAGAGGGAGAAGCAGGCTCCATGCAGGGACCCTGAAGTGGGACTTCATCCCGGGTCTCCAGGATCACTCCCTGGGCTGCAGGCAGTGCTAAACTGCTGAGCCATCTGGGCTGTCCGGGAAATTGAAATCTTATTGTCTGAAATTTGAAGCAGGAAAAATTCAAACTTTAGTACCATTTCCCTATTCTTATTTGTTGATGACAAATCAGCATTACTGCCTACCTTTCAGGCTTTGAAGGGATTTTTCAGGCTTTATCTTGAGTTGAGGGTTGAAAAAAAAGAAAAAAGTCGACCAAAAGCACATTTTCTAAGCCCTTGTCTGGCCCTACCCATTAGAAAAGTGTGAGCGACTGTTCTATCAAAACTAATTAAACCTTAAATGTATAACCAACTCTCAATTACCAAAGTTAATGGGGCTACATGCATACATAATTATATGCTACGTTTATATAGTGCTTTTAACTTCTTCAAAGCACATTTCGCTGTATTGCATATATAAAACAGATGGATTTTTTAAAAAATCTACAAATAAGGTAAAAAAGAAATCTTGGAATCAGTAATTTCAACTTTCTACCTTTCCGAAGGTATTAGAACTAGTGAAATAAAAAAAAAAAAAAAGAACTAGTGAAATTGTCTAACAGGGCTTTTATTTCATTGCCCTAGTCTCTCCTTGACCCATCTCAACTAAAGGTGAGAAATGACTGAAAGATTTGGAGGAATCTCTGGAGGAGAGGAAGCCAAGGAGGAAGGGAAGCCAAGGACTTGGGCCATCTAACCTAGATCATTAGCTCCAGAGTAATTAAGAATAACTGACTGTTATGTGTGATTATATCCAGAAGGTCCCGAAAGAGATGAAAGGCATAGGAAATGATGTGTGAGTAACAGTATTTAGGGGACTCTTGTTATTGTCATTCATTCAACAAGCATTATTAAGCACCTACTGTGTGCCAGGTGCTTTCAACAGAGGATGGATACAGCAATGAACAACCCAGGCAAGACAGCTGTTGTCATGGAGATGACCTCCTTGAATGGTGAAGACAGCCAATAAACAGGAATGTAAATACACGAACAAGCTAACTTCAGGTAGCTCTAAGCACTGTAAAGTCTATAAAGGCAGGAATGTGATATTGAGTGCCACAGGGAGGGGATGCTCTCTTACATAGTGTAGCCAGAGAAGGCCTCTCAGTATATATTCGAGCTGCAACCTGCTATGAGGATCCCACCCTGTGTGGGTCTGCTAACCAGAATGATGGAATGAATGAACCCACTATGTATGCTAGAGGGAGGGAGACCAGGCCTGCCACAGTTCTGTGGTTATTCATTTTGTGTCCTTTTGTGGATATTACTGAAACCTCTCCAGGACCCCTGATTTATTGCCTCTACAATGGGGGTGGCTAATACTGATCACCTTGACAGGGGTGCTCTGAGGAATAATGGGTAAACAATTGTGAGGAGCTATATAAATGCTAAATAATGATCACAGTAATAACCTTTTATTAAAGTTAGCACCATGATAGGCAGCTCACACTCGGATGCCTTGGCAAATGTGGAAATCGATATGGCTGCTCCCTGCACACATCAACACTACCCTTTAAAATAGAAAAAATAAATGAGCCAATGATCATGATATTCAAAGTGTTAGTGATCAAATAAGTGTCTTGAGAGAAAGCTGATGTGTGAAGTGTAAAATGGGAGTAACAAGATAATGGCACATTACAGCCCGGAGCAGGTACAGGACAACCAGTGAATGCAACTGGATGCTTGCTGGTACACGCGCCACCTGCTACAGGGTGGTAATTCTAACCTCATCAGGACTAGGCGCTGCCACCACCAAAAGCATTGGCAGACAGAAAGTGGGATGAGAAAGAGCCGGATCAGCAGCATCTCTGCCAGCAGCCCCATCTGGCCCTCTTGGCCTTGGTAAGCCTTCCCCGGGGTAGGGTGGGGGAGAGTGATGGTGGGGAGGGGAAGGACTGAGAAGCCAGCACCAAGGGGCCCTACCTTGGAAGGGCACCAAGGAAGTAAGGCGGGAGCAAGGAGGGGAGTGAGCATGGCATTTTTTCCCTTCAAGAATGAAATAACCCAATTCCAGGAAAGACTTTGGTTGGCTTCATACCAGATCCTCCCTACACAATTAGATATGTGAACCTATCCCTAGCTACTCTGCACCCTTTCTCCAAACCTCTCACTGAAATTTAACATTAACACCACAAAAAACAAATTCTTTTTCTGGGGTGGGGGGAGGGCGTGGTTTGGAAGGTCCTACCATCTCTTTGATATAAATATGCATGTGCCTGAACATTCTTTCCTGTCTCGAACCTCGTGTGGGACAATCACATTGTGAAGCACACAAGCCCAAGCACATGCACACATACATACACCCTCCCCCCCCCACCCCCCCACCCCCCCGCCAATCCTTTGTTAAGCCCTGGCTCAGCTATTATGCAGTGCCTGTGGGGTATAGGCCTCATAGAAAAGTTTACATTATTGTTTTTTTCTCTGAAAAGCAGGAAGAGAAGACCATTCAAAAAGACTTATTTTATGGCTGCTACTAAACACTTTATTCTGTATTGACTGAGCAAGTCACTTTCCCACCATGAAATAAGTAGAATCCAGATGACCTCTGAGGTGCTAAGAGCCCCTGATACATACTTCACTAGAAATGAGAGAGGTTAAAAAGAATATGGCAAGGTAATCCTAGTTTTCAGGAAATTGTGGTTTAAATTGGGGTGAGAGAGGATCAAGAGCCTCAAAAACACCTAATTGATTTTGACCAAATGGAGAAATTTTAAAATATTAAGTACACTGGGCCATGACTTTATTATATTATGTAAAGTATTGTGGGTGAGCATGCAACATGAGCCATAGTAAGTGCTCAGTAAATTTTCTGCTTGTAAGTAAAACATTTCTACCTATCAGTTTCTCAGGCTGGTTCAAACCTGAATTTATTTATTTAAGTCTACCATTTCTTCAAAGTTCTCTGTTTCTGAAAATAGTCAATGAAGAAATGTAGGGACAACTGTCCTCAGGAATGTGGTCATGCTTATGGTCAAATCAGTCTAAGTAAAGTTGGTTCATTAGCAGGACTGCCTAAATGGCTTTCAAATTTTGTTTGGTGTTTTTTTTTTTTAATTTATTTATTTATTTGAGAGAGAGAAAGAGAGTTGAGGGAGGAGCAGAAGGAGAGGGAGAATTTCAAGCAGACTCCCCACTGAGCACACACCTCCTCAAGGAATTGACAGGGGGCTCGACGGGACTCAATAGAGGCCTCCATCTTACAACCCTGAGATCATGACCCAAGCTGAAATCAAGTGTCCAGACCCTTAACTTCCTAAGTCATCCAGGTGCCCCTTTTAGTAAGTGTTTGTAATGCTTTGTTATAACAGACTGTCAACAAGTGACAGATAAAGTCATAAGGAAGGAAGGTACCTCTCAGATCCTGTGCTTTCTAAATTTATTTTAGAAAAAGAGAAAGAGAAAGCTGGGGGAGAGCCATAGGGAGAGATTAGCAGACTCCTCCCTGAGCACTGAGCCCCAAGCAGGGCTCAATCCCAGGACCCTGAGATCATGACCTGAGCTGAAATCAAGAGTCAGACACTTAACCAACTGAGCCACCCAAGCATCCCTGGATCCTGTGCTCTTAAATTAAGCTAACCCATATTCAACAAAATCCAGGATCAATTTCCAAGGAATGGTTCTCAATTATTGTCTTGGATTCTTTATTTCACTTTTCTTTTTTTTCTTTTTCCAAGTTTCTATTTCTCTTTTTACCTGCTGCTTGGCTTTCTTAACTCCCCTTCTCCTAGCTTCTGCCACGGTGCTCACCCATTTTCAACTTGAATAATTTTGGCTTTCCCACTCTTCACCTTTGCCACTCCTTCGAAAATGGGTTATGTTTACCTTCTGACTCTTTCTACTTCTGGCTGCTCAGAAGTTTTGCCCTTACACAGCCAAGTTTTGATCCCAGGACATTTTCCTGGCTTTGGCCTGTCTCAGTGGCATCCGTGCTCATTTTGACTTCTCCAGATGGGGGCATGCACAAGAGGAAGGATCAAAAAAAAAAAAAAAAAAAATCAAGGAAACAGAAAGAATATCTGGTTCAACTTAAACTGTGTAGGACACTGAGGGCTTTCTATTGTACAATCTCTGCCTCCTTATTCCTCTCCTTTTACTTTATTTATACATTTTTATTTACTTATTTTTTGAAATAAATCTTATGCCCAACATGAGGCTTGAACTCACGACCTTGAGATCAAAGAGTCCCATGTTCTACCAACTAAGCCAACCTGGGCACCCCTTCATTTTCTTTTTTTATTCTCTCTTATCTCTGACTCTTTATATTTCAATTTTTATTAAATCCCCACCTTTCTAACTGGTCGGTATTCTAGTATCCCTTTGTAAGACTTCAGTGGGAATGAGAGTGACATCCATTATGCAAAATAAATTTGATAGCCAGGAGAAATTGCTGAATCTCTAGTGTCTTTATAGCACTTATCAAATGCCATTTAACCATATTTTTGGCAAATTGCTCTGGCTTTCAAGGGAGTCAGTTGATGGGTAAGTCAATAAATATCTGTCAAATGAATGAGTGAATACATACTAGTTGTGCAGCATTACATCAGGTACTTTAAATAATACAAAATATGAAACTTCAGAGGCTCAATCAATTAAGTGTCTGTTTTTGGCTCAGGTCATGATCTCAGGGACCTGGGATCTAGCCCCACATGAGGCTCCCTGTTCAGTGGGAAGCCTGCTTCTCCCTCTCCCTCTGTTCCTCATGTTCTCTCTCTTGCTCTGTGTGCTGTCAAATCAATCAATCCAATCTTTTTTTTTTAAAAAAAAAAAAAAAGAAAGAAAAAAGAAACTTCATCCTTGGCTTAAGAAAGACATCTTCTCATGCCCATGCAACAAAAAGCCTGCTTTGAAATATCAACAAGGGCCAGACCTGGTTTACTATGTCTTCTGGAAAATAAGAAGTCATCTCTCAATGCACAACCAGCTTCATTTGGGCAAAAGTGAATGTGAGCAAAGCACTGGTTATAGCAGTAACAGACATCTATGAGCTAATGAGTTATAGAAGCTGAACATTATTACTATCTATGGTTTTCTACATAGCATCTTCATAAACAGCAAAATGTATAAAACATAAATGAGTAGAATTAAGTGAGCACCTGTAGAACTGCAGGTAATACAACTTTGCTATCACCCTAGAAGCCTCTGCTCTCCTGTCTGAGATAATATTCTTTTACTGACTTTTTAAAATAATTTTACCACCTTTATAAGTGCCCCTAAAAAGTTTCATTTTACCCAGTTTTGAAATGAAAAGAGATTAGAAAAGAAAAATAACAACTACATGCATGTTCAACATCTGACATGAAAAAGACAACTAGTTTTTTAAAATAAGAGATTTTGAAGCATAGGGGAACCTGGGTGACTCAGTCAATTAAATGTCTGACTAGGTTTCAGCTGAGCATGATCTCAGCGTAGTGAGATCTAGCCCATGTCTAGCTCCACATTCTCTCCCTCTCCCACTGCCCTTCCCTGCCAGCTCACAGGCTCTTTTTCCCTCTCCCCCTCAAAAAAACCTTTACAATAAAAAGATATTTTGAAGTGTACAATTTCTACTGGTGATCAAGGTGTTTACTCTTTAGTGCGCTTTTATGTTTGCTGACTGCCATTCACTCCCCTTTTTCATATCTCAAAGGTATTCTTCCCAAAGCTGCCTTTGGTCTTATAACTGCTTTCCTGGACTCGGTGGGACTTCAAAGCATACTGAGCTCATCATAGAATAAATTTTGCTATCCCATGGTCATCACTGTAATTATTCCTAATTTTTACTTTGCTTCAAAAGTCTCTTCCCTTGTCCCTTAAACTCTGTACTTTCAAAATGGTATCTACAGCTTTAATTACACCTGACAATAAACTCTCACCACAGAATCTGTTTGATCATGTACTACACCCATTATTATATTTAAATATCCTATTTTTTTAAAATCCCATTTATATCAGATTCCCAGAGTCACAATATTAGCAATGGTGTTTTTTAAGTTGTTTCTGTAGTTGCTATTTGTAATTCTTGCAAATCAGAGTTGTACAAATGATTGATGCCAGTTGAATTATCTACTAAAATGGGATGAAATGGTCCTTAAACTACTGTGTACCAAACAAATCCACAGAATAAAAGCTGAAATGGGACTTGGGCAACTCGGTCTCCACAGAGAATCAAATCAGATGCTGTAGTGTTGACAAAGTACTTCAGATTCAGAATAATCCTGCTAATCACACTTCTTCCAAATTCATCAGCTAATGTCATTTTCCATGAAGAAGAGGTCTTCATGAGTTGCAGTGAGATAGGATTTGGAAAGGTAGAGAGCAGCAGGAAAAGCTTCTGGGGATGGGATCAATTGGAGCAAAGGACAGAAGGCAAAATGAGAAGGTCATGTGTCTGAGAAGCAATCTGGACCTCGAGTGCAATAAATATAAGCTTATGACATTGCCACTGCTTTGTGAAACATAATATTTTTGTTATTTATCAGTTATTTCTCCTGATCCAGATTTCACTTTTTTATGATATAATAAATAGTGATATCTGGTCTCATTTTTCTGTGTATTTGGATACAGCAACTACAGTGCTCTGGCCGAATGAAAGAAACAAGGTTGATGATAGAGGCTGAGTCAGATTATGAAAATCTTTAAAATGCTTATACTAGACTTTACCCATAGAAGTTATTTAGTATTTTGTTTGTTTGTTTGTTTGTTTGTTTGTTAACTGGGTGCACCATGAGGACAACAGTGTTTTTTATGGCTTCTTAGGGATAAAGACCCTAGGCAGCAAGATTAGGTAAGATGATACAGAAATAATTCAGGCATTAAAAATAAGATTGGACAAGGTTGGTGATGGTGGTAATGGATCGGAAAGGAAGGAGTGGAAGCAGCATATAAGGGAAGAATTTGGCTTCTTTCTCTTTGTCTTTTCAGCCACTTGGGCTTAATACTATTCAGTCTTCCTGATTTATTTTCCTTACCATTTATATTTTCCTTCTGCCCTTGATAATCTACTTTTTCTTTCCCACCTTTCCCCTCTCTTTTCTTTCCCTTGTCTGCATTAAATTTTTTTTTCTTTTACTTTTCTATACTCAATCAGACAGATATCAGATGGGAGATATGGGTAGACTTTAACTATAAGACTTACTAATTAGAATATGTTGCTTAAAAATTTTTTTATACCTTTTATCTTTAGTTAGAAAGAAGGAAAGAAAAGAGAAAAGACACAAGGGAAAAAAGAGTAGAATGAAAAAAAGGAAAGAAAAAAACTTTCACTTATTTATTCATTCAAGAATGCTGTTTCCAGAGAGAGCCAAAAAGAGAAAATACCAAAAAATGACTTATATTATTGTAATTTTATTATACATTTCCCCTTCTAAGTCAGTTGGTAAAGTAGAGATCCCAGGAGGCAGAAGATGAAGGTGTGATGGGTAGTCTTCTTCTGTTCCTTTAGGTCATGTGTTCTTCATATTAAAAGGTGGAGTTAAAACCCTATGCTCAGGCCTTAGTGACTGGCTCAGGCGATAGATTGTCTGGAAAGGACTTTTTGGGACTTTTGAGACTAGGTTGTAAGAAGCCTGGGTCTTTTGGAACACTTACCTGTGGTTTGCTCCCTTTTGGAACCCAGCCACTACTTTGAGAGGAACCCAAGTCACCTGGAGACCCTCTGATTGCCAGCTCTAAATAAGATAATAATCAGCATCCCTTATCAGTTGTATGAATGAACCATCTTGACTTCGGGCTCAATCGAGCTACAGATGATTGCAGCTCCAGCTGACATCTTACTGCAATTCCTAGGAGGCCCTAAGCAAAAACTTCCCAGTCAATCCCAGTCAATCCACAGAATAATAAGACATAGGAGTAAATTACTGTTTTAAGCTACTACACTTCGGTGTGATTTGTTATACAGCAATAGATAATTCTTTCATTTTTATATGAGACCTAAAGAATGTTTTATCAAGTGTTTGAAAGATTCATCATACCACCCAGAAAGCATATATATTATTTTTTGTATTTTATCTCCTAAAAATCACTTTATTACTCATTAGCTTTGAAACTGGAATCTGAATTGACTTTGATTAGAAAGCTTAGGAAATATTTAAGCAAATATTTTATTTTTTATTATTTTATTTTAAAGTAGACTCCACACCCAGCATGGAGCCCAACGTGGAACTTAAACTTACAACCATGAGATCAAGACCTGAGCTGAGATCAAAAGTTGGACACTTACCTGACTGAGACACCAAGTCCTCCAGCAAATATTTGAAACACCATCATATTTTGAGTACTGGCACAGGATAAAATGATACAGATGTAATAGAAATGGTTCTCATATGCAATCAGAAGATGGAGTTTAAGTCCTAGCTCTGTCATTTATCACTATGTGATCTAGGGCAAGTTATTTAATGTCTCTGATTCCTAGTTTCCAATGCTATACTGTATTTGAAGGTACTTAGTAATGCCTACCATAACATATTCAATAAATGTCCATTTCTTTCTATTTCTATGAAAGTCTCATGCTCATAAGTGCAACCATGTTGAAACTTAATGTGTTATACTGCATCGTAACACTGAATATTTTTATTAGTTATCAAATATTTCTCTTGATAAATATTTCATAAGCTTCAACAGTGTTACCTTTACTGATGTGATCCTCTTTGCTTTCCTGTGGAATAACTTGTTTAGTAGATTTGGGGGACTCATTCTGTTGCTAGATTCTCACAAAAGTACTTTTGTGACTATCGTTTTTGTTTTCCAAGGACATGACCCTGTTTTACATCTTGAATGTGGTTCTCTACCTTAGTACAAATGTTAATAAGTTAAGTGCATATCAAATAAGAATTTTAATTCAGTTCATCATATGTTTATGTATTTAAATTTAAGAATCAAATTGATATAATTGGTAACATTACCCATTTGCTTTGATTTGAGATGCCAAGTGATTGAAAAATTTTTTAATTTGGAAGTGAATTACCTTGCTTATTTGAATTTATCATTTTTGCATAATTAGGATGAACTAATTTAATTTGCAGTTATCCTTTTAAATGACTTAAATGATGTCTGCTGAGATATTCAAGGCCACATGATAGTGGAGTCATCTGAGTAATACTCTGTCTCATGGGTTGGAAAGGACAATAGAACTGTAAAGCCTAGGAATGAAGTTGCAAGCTTGATCTTTTCTCCATTATGTATATATATTATACACACACACACACACACACACACACACACATATATATATATACACATATATACATGTATATATGTATACATATATATATGTATGTTTTTTTTTTTTCCTGCTTGGTTCCCCTCACCTCACTCTAGGCTGCTTTATGTTTTCCAGGGGGACCATACATTGCAATTTTATGATGGTCCTCCTTTTTCAACTCTGTTCTGATTCCATGTCATTTTCACTTATGTTCAGCTCGCATCTTAGTTCTGCAAAGGGGTGGCTGGTTACTCACTTTGGTGGGTTATGGTAAGAATCCCTGACAGTGCTTTTGATGAGGACTGAGGTTCTTCCAGCAAATACTACTTTTTGATGATACATTTTAATGAGGCTTTTAAAAATCAGGACACCAGACTACTGGCTAGCATAGTTGGAACCTATAATTTTAGAACGGTGTTTGCAGTCTAATTTCACTCCCATTAAAATGGCTACCCATTAAATTCATTAGTAGAATCCAACATATTGTGTTGCTTAAACTTTTCCATCTTCTTATGGTTTTTAATTTTTTTTTCACAGAAAGCACTGGCCTAAATAAATCCTTTACTCTTTTGTAATGCTTTCATTTTGGCCCTACTACTGCAGAAAATTAACCAAACTTCTTCATCTTTGCAATCTCCACCCCGCCAATCTCCATCAACCTTGTTAACCAGGTTTTAAAACATACACTCAAGAGGTAGTCAACAAAGGTGGATGCCAACTTTACTCTGGGACTTCCCTCCACCACCCCCATATACGACATTTTCAAGAAATAGGAGCTTTGTCTTATTCTTTTCAAGGAGCTTTCAGAACAATCAGTAAAACAAAGGAGTTAACCTGTTAACTAACATTAGAATCTCATTTGAAACTATTTTCTACAGCTCAAAAATGTGGCATGAGGCAGATCCCTACTTAAGAAGAAAGACTTTATTATTTAAGGTGTCCCGAAGACCCTCAGATTGTCTGTAAGAGTAGTGCTGTGGGATGATGAGAAGCACAATCTTGGCCACTCTGGTATTTAACTTCAATGGAGAGAGTGAGATGATCTCCCAAAGCATGGGAATTGATTTGCCCTAAGCCCCTCCTTGGTATTAAACTCTTATAATCCCAGGATACAGAAAAGGAAGAAACTTGGTGTTCATTCTGTCTCATTTTGCAGACCAGGAAATTGAGACTCAGAGGTGCAAGCTCATTAAGCTCATATAATTATTTAGTTGGTTTCTTGGAGGAGGATAGTTTCAGAAAGGATGCTTAAAAGTAGGAGTATTTGAGAACTATTTAGGAACTGTAATATTGGCACTGACTGACTAATTGGGGGGGGGGCACTGAGAGATTGAGTACCCACAGAGAAGGAAAATTCAAAGATGGTGCAGTCTTTAGTTTTAGCACCCAGGCAAATGGGAGGCATTCATTCTGAAGGAGGACATAGGGAAAAATGTAGCTGCAGAGAAAGATTATGAATTCAACCTGGAGTTTTGGGTGTCTTTGTAAGACCCAAGACAATATATTATAATTAAATATACACAGGAGGCAAACCACGAGACTCTTGAATTAGGAAAGTTTAGTAAAGCATATTTCTGGGAGGATATTAGCATCATCCATAGCCAGTGTGAGGCCAAAGAAGACAAAGATGGAAAGGTGTCATTAGGGTAGGCTATAAGGCAATTGTTGGTAACCTTGACAAGTGATGGTCAGTGGAGTGGTGCGGCCAGAAGCCAGTTTGCAATGGGCTGGGAAGTGAGTGGCAAGTGGGAAGTAGAAAAACAAATATGAGCAACTATGAAGATGTTCAGGACAATTGAGAGGAAGGAAGTAGGGCAGCCCCCACTCCCACGTCCCCACCCCACAGGGGAAGATGTAGAGGGAGGGTTTGTCCGATATGGGAGAGAGCATGTTTCAGTGCTGGTGGTAAGAAGCCATTATTTCTACTGAGGTAATTTTTCTATTTCCTGGCTCCTGCCTTCTGTCTAAAGGTCTGTGTAGTTCCTGGAAATCTCAGAGCAGATCTTTTAGGAGCATCAGAATGATCTCTTGATAATCCATTATCAACTCACTCTTAACAACCAGCTTTTGTTATCAACTCATAAGCCCTATTCCCCTCTGACTACTTTCCAGATGTGTACACTCACATTAGATAAAAACATCTCTCAAATTTGCTAATGGGGGTAATGAGAGCAGAACTAATTTTTCCACATCTCAAATTGGCCTATATAGGAGTGCAAACCGAGAAATACCCATTTCAGGGCAATTTTTAAAGATCTGAAGAAATCCCATTTTATGATTAATATTAATCACACAATTACTGACTCTCTTTATATTTATGTCACTATTTTTTATTGATTGCCTACTATATAATAGGTCTTCGGGACAAAACATCTAAACATGACCTGAATATCTTGATTTCTAGATATTTTACATTTTGAAGAGAAATTTCTGGGGTTTATGACGATTTTCTACATTTCTGGTACAATGTTCAATGCTGTGTCAAAACAGTGTTCTTTAAGATACAGCTGAAACTTTTTTGACACCCTACATCCAGATTCCCTTTCTTTTGCTGGAATAGATCCCCACTGTGTGATTCTCAGTGGGAAAAGGGCCCAGCTTCTCACTGTGGAAGTTGAGGAGTCCAGATAGTGTCTCTGGATGAAACCGACAGCTGAGGTACAGACAACAGATCTAATTAATCAATGGGCTACCTCACCAGGGATATTACATTGAGGGAATGGAGTGAAATCTCAGAAACATTAAGAATTACTTTTGCTGGCAGCAGCAGTGCTGAGTGTCTGTCTGGCAGTGGTGGGTGCATGGTGTAAGCCTAACTAGGCTGCTTCTGGGAGCGGAGCTTGGCTATGTCTTCAGCTGTCTGGCCTCCCTTGGTTCCCACCTCTGCTCTGAGCCTTCTTCCTGTTGATTCATTGAGCTCCCTGAGAACTGCCTAAGAAATTTCTCTTTTGCTTAGGTTAGCTGGAGGCAGGTTCTGTTGTTTGCCATCAAGAACCCAGTTTGATTCAGAGGGTCACAATGGAATAATAAAGCAACGAACCAAAACATTTACATTAAGCTTACAATTGTGGGCTGTAGGCATTGTGCTAAATACTTTAAATAAATGATGTCACCAAATCCTCAAAACAACAGGGTGAAGCAGGCATGTGGGTCAGTTCTTTCAAGTATCATCTTAAGGACCTCCTCTTTTATGAGGCTTTTCTGAGCTCTTTCCCCTCTTGCAGGTAGACTTGATTCCTCCTTTCTGTCCACTGTGTGTCCCATAAAGAGGAGAGAATGTGTAGGTATATGTAGATGTGTATTTGGTACAATGTATTCATATACCTACACATTCTCTCTTTATGCATATATTACATACATAAAGTATACTGATCATATTTCAGTTTATAATATATATATTTTTTATTTCCTGATCACTTATTAAGCTTTTATTATGTGTAGATACTGTGCCTAGTAGTTCACTCGCATTATCCCACAGCATTCCCACCAGAACTCTACAGGTTAGATTTATTTATCCATTTTACAAAAGAAGAAATAGGAACAAGAAAGGCTAAATGATTTTCAAGATGTTACCCTTCACAAGAGTTGCAGAGTTGAGATGTGAACATACTCTGTTTTGTTTTGACTTCTAACACCTCTGCTCTTAATACTCTGCAAATTACCTTCACATTCTCATTGTGCTCATAAGTGATGCTTCCCTCCTGTCTTGGCTAAGATAGTCTGCATTTTACTTCTTTTTTTTTTCTACTCTCCTAGTATTGAAGGCAAATCTCTGTTCCTTATGACACTTCACCCATTCCTCTGTCTGTGACAGACATCGGGAGTTAATTATTATGTTCTATGCCATGAGCCACTTCAAAGATCTCTCTCCCCATTCCATAGGAAGTCACTCCCACTTGGTTAGAGATAAATCTTATTTGCTGTTGCTGGCCTGGAACAATACCTCTTCCAAAAATATACTTAGCAAATTATTGTTAGAGTATTGCTATTTTCTTTATTTTGCAGATGGGGAAATAATAATTAGAGAATTAAATAATAAACCATTCACCTGGTACTATTTGTGTCCACCTCATTGGGTTTTTGTGAGGATTCATTGGATTAATACACATAAAACTCTTCAAATCACATCTTGGCACAAGGTAAATTAGGAATTAGTACTACTATTTGAAAGCACACAAGTTGTATCCAGGAGAGTTAAATCCATAGAGATAGAACTATTGGTGGTTACCAGGGTTGGGGGAAGGGGGAATGAGATGTGACTGATTTAATGGGAACAAGGTTTCCTTTTG